CATCTTCAGCATCTCGGAACCCTCTTGGAGGCCACTTGGAAGTTTCTTGGGCCGTCTTGGGCGCTTCTTGGGTCGTCTTGTCTGACTGGGGAGGCCTCCGGCAAGCCCCGACGAGCCTCCGGGCCCCCCGGGGCGCACATTTGTGGTCGAGGTCCCGGCCCCGGGCCCCCGGACCCGGTGCGCCGTTATATGTATATGTGTATATGTGTATATGTGTGTGTGGTGTGCGTGTGCGTGTGCGTGTGTGTGTGTGTGTGTGTGTGTGTGTGTGTGTGTGTGTGTGTGTGTGTGTGTGTGTGTGTGTGTGTGTGTGCGTGTGTGTGTGTGTGTGTGTGTGTGTGTGCGTGCGTGCGTGGTGTGTGTGTGTGTGTGTGTGTGTGTGTTTGTGTGTGTGTGTGCGTGCGTGCGCGCGTGCGTGTGTGTTGGTGGTGGTGGTGGGGGGGGGGGGGCATCGACGCAATCCTCATTTTGGATACGCGGGGAAAAAGGAACAGAGAAAATAACAACTCCGCGCGTGCGCTGCACCCTCGCGGGCAGCGCGGCACCCGCTGGAGCTGGGGGGGCGGGGCCAGCACAGTGCAGGCTCTGGCCTGCTCGGACAATCGCGCCCCCGCGGTGTCCAGAGGCGCGGGGGCGCACTACGAAAAACCACGCGGATAGGGTTTCGTCTCCTAGAAGCAGCTTGCAAGACCTACCCCCCTCCCCCATTTGGCTAAAAGGCAAGGGGGCGCACCTGGATCGGGCTCGTCTCCAAGGGGCAACTTGCGAGGCCTACTAACGCCACTCATGTGGCCAGGGTGGGCGCGGCTTACTCGTGACTAGAGGCGGTCAGGAAGGAGAGAGGAGGGGAACGAATTTCAATTGGGGCCCAAGGATGGGCGGGGGCATGGGGGAAGGACCCCCGGGCACGCCCCCCACGGGAGCGCTCGAAAGTCCGCTTCTCAGGGTGCAGCCGCGCGTCGGGCCCTCGGGCCCACGCGAGGTAGCCAGGGGCATCCGCCGCCGCGAAAACTGTTTCAAACCGAAGTCTCAGAGGCTGCATCACAAGCCCGTCTGGCCTTATGTCGCGCAGTGCCTGGAGACGGGGTAGAGGGCGCAAGTTTAGGGGGGGGGGTAACTGCACTTCCTATGGGGAGCTGGCCTGCCATCACTAGGATCAAGGCCCCTACCAGGCATGCGATGACGTGGCAGGGGATTGCCTGCCCCCGAGTGTTGGCAACCGGGAGCGGCAACAAAAACAGGTTGGCAAGCTCAAGAAGGGTTCCCGCCTCCCGAGCACGTGCCCAACGCAAGGTGAGGCGCGCCTTGAGGGCAGAAGGGATTCTCCGCCCATTGAAAGGAAACAGAGAGCGAACACTGCACGCTGGGAGAAAGCCAAGCACAAATCCGGCCACGATCGGCTCACGAGGTGATCGGCAGCACAAGCTCGTGGAGGTGGGGGAGCTCGGCGGGGGTGCGTGGAAGGGCTCACCTGATGCGTTCGGCGTAGGAGCCGTGGGTCAGCAAACCGTATGAGGGGTGCGCTAAAAAAGGAATGCACTTGACTAACTAACTCCAGTGCTCTGCCTGTTCGAAAAACGCATGCGCAATCGACATCCAATCGGTCCCTATGGCCCTGCCACGCGTTCCTGACTCGGGAACGGCTAGGACAGTGAGAACCCCATGGCCCTGCCGTTCGGTCGTAACGTGGGCAAACTGAACTGGTGAGAATCCCACAGCCCTGCCGCGCGCTCGTGATTGCGGAAGCTGGTGTGGCGAGACCATCATGGCCATGCTCAGCGTGTTTGATGCTGTTGGTAATCAACATGATATAACAGCAACTTCGATCCCCGCAACTTCCCCGTGGATTATCAAGTTCGGCACCCGCGCCTTCCCCTGCGGTCGGAGATAAACAAATAAGAGGGGAAGGGGGGTACTTTATTATAGCCCGTTCGGGGTTAGATGCGTGGCTCCTCGCAGCCGCTCCGGGTCGTCTCGATGCGCGGCCTCCATCGGCATCCTGCGACGCTTCAGGAACTCGCAGCAGGACAGGTTGGCGATGTTGGGCCCATATGACTCGATCGCGAAGCTGAGGGCTCGACTCAAAACCATAAGCTCATGCCCAGATCGCGAACTAGCTTGCACCTTCGACTCGGTCAGCCAACGATCATGGGCAGCAGTGAAGCCTCCCAGGGACCTCAGGCTCAGCTCGCCCATGGACTCCTGGAGTGCGCCAGGCCCCTTCATTCGCAACGGCACCAGGACCTCCAGCGCGATCATGGGCGCATCGACGTTGAACGTCACGGGCGTGTCGCCGCGGTGCCGCGGAAGCAATCGAACTCGCCCTTCAGCAGCAGCTGCTGGCGCGCGTGGCCCCAGGCGTCGAGTTCGGCCGCAGCCTGCACCACGGAGATGGACACGATGACACCGTCGACCGTGACGAACGCGTGGCCACCAACGTCCAACGCCGAGGGCGGAAAAGGGACCTCCTGCCCCAGCACATACCCGTCCAACGGCTCGTCCAACACCCAAGCCCCAGCAGGTCCAGCAAACCGAGGGGCCAGAGGCGCCGCAGCCGCGCCAGGTGCCACGGGCGCTCTCAGCGGCAAGGGCGTCGGCACAACGGCAGGAGCCACTCCGCCCGGGCCCTCCCGCGCGGCAGCGCCAGGCGGGGCGGCCAGCCCGCGCGCGGCCCTTTCGACCTGCGCGTGCCGCTCGCCCTCAGCCAGGAGCTGCGCCAGGTCACCTCCTGCAAGCCGCACCTGGAAGCGGTAGATCTGCAAGCCGCCCATGCCGAAGGGCAGCCGGCCGTCAATCCCGCCCAACCGAAGCCCTTGTAGATCGGCATTGGCAGCATCGTTTTTTTCTATGGGTGTCGCCAGAACGTACTCAGTCGCTGTCACCCAGCTCAAAAATCCTTTCATGGTAGAGATCGTCCTCATCGTAGCAAAGGAGTACAGAGGAACCAGCAGCTAACACCGCCATCTCAGCCCTGGACGAACACTCCGTTCTTGTCCTGGCCCTTCGGACTCGAGCTCGTCCCAGAGGTGATCGCAAAAGGAGCCCCAGCGGGCTCAGCCGCCGGAATGAAGCCCCTGCTCGCGCCCGCCTGCACCTGCAGCGGCTCCCGCAGCCTCGCCAGGCACCAGCTGCACAGCTAAGCCCCCAGCGCCGCGCCGAGCAGCAGCCCAACCAAACCCGCGGACGTCTTCCGTCCCCCAGCCAACGGGCGGGCACACGGGGCACACGGGCGCGAGCTCGGCGGGCCCGCACCTGTTGAGCTGCGACTGGAGCAGCTCGAGCAGCCCAGGCTCCACCACCGGGCCCGAGCAGTGACAATGGAGCGGCTGCGGCGCAACCCAGTGGCCAAGCCAGGTGCCCAGCAAGTTGGAAACAACACCGTTGAAGTATGCCGTGAGGAGGCTCATAGACAGGAGAAGACCTTGAAACCAGAGCCACAATGATTACATATCGAACTGCAACAAGACACGCCAGAGCGGTTCCTATCGAAACGATTTTCCGCTACCGCCCCGGCTCAACTAACTGACATCTGGGGGGAGCTCACGGGGGTTCGTGAACACGCTATCAACAGCCCCTCCCCTGGCACTCACTACCCTGTACACAGACTCATCACCATCGCCGTCGTTGCAGCATCAGCACCATAATCAGCATCCCCTATCATCACACTCATCATCATAGTCATCAGCATCATCACCATTAGCATCACGATACTTAGCAGCATCACCATCATCATCATCATCATCATCATCATCATCATCATCATCATCATCATCATCATCATCAACACCATCATCATCATCATCATCATCATCATCAGCAGCAGCAGCAGCAGCATCACCATACTCATCATCGATATCATCAGCATCAGTAGCATGATCATGTTCACCATCATCATCACCATCATGAGTATCATCATCATCAGCATAAGGTTCATCAACACCACCACCAATACCACCATCATTATCATTATCCTCGTCGGGGTCGTCGTCGGTGTCGTCATCGTCGTCGTCATCATCATCAGCATCAGCAGCAGTCTGAGCATCATCATTTGCATTATCATGCTCGTCGTCATCATCACCTACATCATCATCTTCAGCATCATCATCAGTATCATCAGCATAATCAGCATCGTCATCCTCATCAATATTGTCATCGTCGTCGTCGTCGTCGTCAGCATCAGCACCAGCACCAGCATCGGCATCTGCATCGGCATCGGCATCAGCAGCATCGTCATCATCCCCCTTCCATCTGATCCCCCCCGCCAGAACTCAAAGATGGCCAACAAACTGCAGAAACCTCTGGGCGGCGCCACCAGCGCCGCCCCAGACACGCTCCGCGCGAGGGGAAAAGGGGTGTAGGTAGGGAGGTAGGTCCAGCGCCGACCCAAGAGACCACCGAAAACTTCTCAGAATGAGGGGGCCGAACTGTCATTCATTGTCCCTGGGTGCGTGGCTGAAATGGAATTCGTGGTCAGAGTTCTGCGTGTTGGGTTGTTGTTGTTGTTGCTGTTTTTTGTCGTCGTCGTCCCCCCCGCGACCCACCAGCGACCCACCCCGCGACCCACCCCGCGACCCACCCCGCGACCACCCGCGAACCCACCCGCGACCCACCCCGCGACCCACCCCGCGACGCACCCGCGATCCACCCGCGACCCACCCCGCGACCCACCCCGCGACCCACACGCGACCTACCCCGCGACCCATCCGCGACCCACCCACAACCCTACCCGCGACCCACTTGCGACTCACCCACGACCCACCCCGGGACCCACCCCGGGACCCATCCGCGACCCACCCGCGATCGATCCACATTGGTTCGAAGAAAAGATCGGCGCCTGCGGCGGGCTCGTTGTTAAATTTGTGAAACTTTGGCGCCTGCGGCGGGCTTCTCCAAAGTCTCGCAGACTGCCGATGCCCCCACCGCACCCTCACTCTTATCCGCATCTGCGGGGTGCTACGTATTACGTTTCTCTAGTTTGTTTCCTTACTCCCAGGTTTTGCCTGGTCAAGCGACTCCTGGTTCTTGGACACCTCCTGTTCGGTGTTCTTGATCTCTGTCGCCAGGCGAGCGCTGGCGGCGGTATCCTCCTCGATCTTGACCTCCAGCAAGGCGGGGTCAAGAATTGGAGATGCTCAACTGGAGGCATCCCTATGTGTTTTGACTTACATGTGGTGGGTGGGGCACATGTAAATAATATATTCGTGGCGTCCGTTCTGCGCGACTAGGAGGGAGAGGAAGATGGACTCCACAAGCAAATACACCACGCTGACCTCGGCTCTGGCTTCTGACACTGCGTGAAACCCCAAGGCCACCGAATTTCACGCATCGCGCCCCGCGACGCGCGATTAACTTCGCACCCTCGCGCCGCCAACTTGGAAAGAGGCAGCTGCTCTGGTTCAAACCGCGACGCATGAAGTGCAACCGCTCTCGCATCGGAGGACCGCACCGCATCGCCGAATGTCGATGATCCAGCGCGAATCTTCGACCCCATCTACTGCAGCCTCAGTTTGACTGCCCAGGTTGATGCAGATCGGCTTGAATCGACAACACACACACACCTGCTTGATAACCAGTTCACAAGTATCGGTGTCAGAAAGAGGGAGCGAGGATTGGGTGGGCTCCGAAAAGCTTCCATGGCGTCCTCTTTGGCACAGCCCTTCCTTGGCAGCCACCGCTGTCCCCAGGGGTGAGTATGAACAACGACGCAGCAGAGGTGAGCACTCCTGGTGTTCCTTAGGGACTCGCCCGCGTGTGAGGTGGGGGGGACTGGCTCAGGCGGGGAACATCGCCCTGGAGTCGACGATGCTCTGCCAACAGATCGGCGACGGGCGCGCAGGAGCGCGCAAGCCCCCGTTGGCGATGATGAGTGGGCGAGGTTGGAGCCGAGCCCCCCCCCGAGTCAATGCCCCCCAAGGGCCTGATCCCTGATCTCAAGATAGTCGTCGTGCAAGGCGTTTCTTAGTTCAGCGCATTGATTTCAATCAAAGACACAAAAATACTGCATTAAACAGAAACTTCCGGAGGACCGCACGGATATCCTGGATTGGCGCTGGACGCTGCCTGGAGGCGCCTCCAGCGCTGCTCTCCAGTCCGCTCGCCAGAGAAGGGGGTGCAGCGCCGACCCGAGACATCCGAGCGGGTCTCAGAAAGCCGATAGTCATGCACGGCTTCCCCTTCCGCCTCCCGAGGCCTCGGGCGCCCACCGTACCTTGCTCCACGAGGACGCCGCGCGCACACCGACACAGGCCCCTCCCTGGCCGAGGAGCGGCGCACCGTGACATCCGCGGATGTGAGACCTCTCCAGCCTGGACAAGCGCGTTCCACTACCCGTAAAGAAACTGCTCGCAGACGGCCTGGATCCGCCGCGGGAGACCCACGATCCATCACATAGAAGGAAGACCTGCTGTTTCGAACGCTTGCGAGTAGCAAGACGAAGCCAGGACGAGGATCAAATCGGGCGAGGATGAATCGAGAATCTCTGAGATCTGGCGGCTCTGGAAGATGTCTCGGGCGTCGCGGCCCTCTCAGAGCGTTCCGGAACGCTCCGAGAGCGTTCCGGAACGCTCTGCCCACGGAATTCCCCTCGTCCTGGCCCCGCCCGAAGAAGGCACTTTGCGAGTAGTCGAACGCGCTGGGTGACAACCGCGTCCGCCCCCCGCCCCGAAGGCCCCGACCGCTTGCCCCAGGGGCAGTTCTCCTCGTCCGGGATACACGGTCGATGGCCCCCCCGGGCCGAGAGCGGCCCCCCCCCACAAGCGCCAAAAATGAAAAGACAACTCGCTGGTGGAACAAATCTTACATAGACAAGCGCGTTCCACGACTCGTAAAGGAGCTGCAGTCAACCCGTATAGTAAGGATGCAAGAGAAGGATGCAAGGGCATTGGACGCCCAGTTAGAAGCTTCTCGAGCGGGGCGCGGCCAACGAAAGTTGCGAAGCATGGACCAGGGAGGCAAGGATGCAAGGGTACCCTTGGGAAAATTGCCCATCCTTAACTGTACTCGCAAATGGCATGAATCCGCCACGGGGCATTTACGACGCATTACGTAGAGGAAGAAATGTGCTTTTCGGACGTTCGCGCGAGCAGGCACTTCGCGTGGTGGAACGCGCTCGGTGATCACAGTCCAACCGCATCATTGGGATATGCGCTATGAGGATGCAGGGGCCCTTGGAAGGCCATGCCGACATCTCTAGAGCGGGGCGCGGCCAGCGAAAGTGGCCGAAGATGGGCCAAGGGGGTGGGATTCAAAAGACGCTCATCCTCACTGTTCTCGGCGGCGAGCGAGGGGGAGAAAAAATGAGAAGGATACGGCCTTATTGGTGCTGACCGTATCGTCAGCGACCCAGGCATACGCCTTGCCTGCCAGGCCTCAGGCGCGCATCCACCGGTCCTGGGCCCAGAACGTGCGCCACGAAGCAATATACATCAGGGCTGAGCATATACGGTGTTCTTCGTATTCGTCATGCTTGTTGTTCTTTCCCGTTTTGTTTTAGCGTCGCCTTGAATGCAAAACAAAACGGAAATCAAAACGGCCAACGAGATGGCCAAAACACCGTTTAAGTCCAGCCCTGATATAATTACACAGACACCCTCCGGCGAGCTTTGCGTGTACCTTCAGGTAGGGTGACGGTGTAGGAAGTCGCTGGACTTGAAAGGTGATTTACACACCACACCCCTCCCCGAGGCCCAAGAACACTCCACTGGAGGGTGTCTGTGCATGCCCGTCGGTCGAAATAAGTGGGCAGAAGTATTCGAAGAAGACTGAACGCCATGAACATGAACTTTGGGCGCTCCGCGCGGATTGCTTGGATCCGCGCTGGACCCCCCTCCCTGGCGCGAGGAACGCGCCAGGGGCGGCGCCAGAGGCGCTGCCGGGGGGGGCCAAGCGCGGATCCAAGAAATCAGGGCGGAGCGCCAAAAGTCAATGCTTATGTTTTTTCCTTCGAAGCAAAGATTAGAGTAGAGGGTCAGCTCACGTCGCTGGTTTTCCTACCGCCTCTTGGCGCCAGGAAGCGCCAGGATCCAAGAAGTCCGCGCAGAGCGCCAGCAGTTGGTGTTGATGCCGTTGTTTCCTCTTCGAAGTAGGAAGTAGGCAGGCTTTGGGTTTCCGCCCGCCCCCTGGGGACGAGGGAGGAGGAACAAACCACCCGCCCTAGAGGAGAGTGAGCCCTCGACGCACGGGCGCGAGGCCGCCGCGGTGCACGGCCTGTGCAGCAGGAGGCCTCTCGACCCCTGGGAGGCCTCCGGAGTCCGAGGAAGCAACGCTTCTGTCTACAGTGGAGGCCAGTCTACAAGAAACCTCCCACATGAAACCTAACCCGAGACCCCAGATCGCCCATTGGTGTGGGAACGTCACGCTTTCCATGGCAAAACCATCGAAACCCAAGAAACCCAGGGCACCCTTGAGGCAAGCAGGGTGTTTCTTGGCATGGGTCTCCACTGTACAACAGTCATGCATCCGCCCCGTTGTAATTAGTTCATGGGGCAGATGCCCCAGACAGGAGGGCCCCACCTCGCTCTCCTCTCCCACGAGTCCAAGGAGGCCTCCAGGGACAGCGGCCAAGAGGCCGAGGGACCCACGCGGACGCGACGCGCGAATGCCGACGGCCCAGATAAAGCGAAGTCAGGACGAGGAATACATCGGGTGAGGATAAACTGAGAATATCTGAGATCTGGCAGCTCAGGAGGATGTCTCGGGCGCCGCGGCCTTCTGAGAGCGTTCTGGAGCGCCCTGAGAGCGCTCCTGAACGCTCTGGAACGGATTTGTTCTCGTCCTAGCTCCGCCTGAAGGCAAACATGCTCGGAGGCAAGGTTGGCTTTTTTCGGCGGCTAACCCTGGGGGGGGGCGCAGAAACCTCTCGGGAGGCGCGAGAGCTTCTGAGAAGTCCGCCGTCTTTTGAGAGGGCCTTCTCTTCCACCCCTCGCTCGCCGCCAACTTCTTTAGCGGGTCGGCGCCAGAGGCGCCGCCGGGGGGTCCAAGGGGCTCACCCAGGAGATGCGCGGGAACCTCTCCTGGGGCAGGGACCGACCGTCCCGGCAGGTCGATGGGCCTACCACGAAATGTCATTGGAGCCCAATTGTTCTGAGAAAAACCGTTCTCTTAGAACATAAAACAAGACAGCCACGGCCAGACATGTTCTAAAAACACGCCTTGCAGAAAGGCTCTTGGAATGTTATTTGGTGGGCCGTGGGCCTGTAGGCAAGCCAGGACGCTTCGCCACTGCGTGAACCTCCCCCCCTCGCTCGCCGCCGACATTTTTTAACTGGACGGCACAGGAGGCGCCGCCCGGGGGGCCAAAGACCCACCCAAGAGATGCGCGGGGACATGTCTGTGCGGGCGCGCGCCGGCATGGACTGCGAATCCACAAGTCTGGCGCGGGGGCATCACCAGCGAAAGGAGCCAGTGGCCCTCTCTAGAGAAACGAACTCTATACACTGACGCTTTTTCCGGTCCTGCACTGAAGATTGCAAAAAAAACGGGTCCTGGTGTATACGGGATCCTGGTGTATACATGTTCCGTTGCTTCCCCTGGAAGCGGAAACAAAAAACATACACCACACCTCCCCGACGTCGCTCCCGACCCTCAAAAAAAAATCCGGAAAAATCCGGGGATCGAGAAACAGCCCGCCACTGGTCATGTGTATGCTCCAGTTTCCGACTCTGTGCGACGAGAACTTCGCAAACACAAGATGCGTCTGTCGGTGGGGGGGCGACAAGGTAGGGCAAAAAAAGGGTAGAGAGTCAGCTCACTTAGCTGGTTTTCCTGGCGCCTCATGGCGCTATGAGGCGCCCAGGTGTCGAGGGATGGGCCCGGCGGCGGGGCGGAAATCAGCTGTGGTTACGCAACAAATTTCGTAACCCTCCTTTCCGTATCCTACCTTTTCGTCCGGCCCGATTCTGTCACGGGATGCCTCGTGGAATTGGTGTACTTGCCACACTTTGCCCGGTCCACGCGTGGGGGAACGTGCCCTTCGAAACTCGGCGGCAGCGACACTGATTGAACGGCGGGGTGCCTCGTTTTTGTGTGGAGACGGGACTCGTCCCTGATCCATGCTTGCGTTCCTCGATCTGTGCAAGTGTCTGTTCTTCGAATTATGTGCCTGCGTCGCTCTCTGACTGTTCCTGCCCCCATCCACCCGCCCGCCCGCGCGGGGCGGCCTCGAGGGCAGCGATGCGCGCCTCGGCTTCCTTCGGAAGGGGGAAACTGACCCTCCCCCCCCCCCCTTGGTCACGAGCAGCAACGCACGTACTCATATCCACGCCTCGCGGCCTACACTGCGGGGCGCCATCCCGCGGATACGCGATCGCACGGATACGACGCACGCGGGGCATCTGCGAAAAAACTCCCCGTATCCGCGGGATCGCGGCCAATCGGCCCAGCCTACGAGGCCGAGAACACTATCCAAACATCTTCTCTGCACTATTATTCGCTGCGCAATTAATGCAGCTGCTGTACTGTGGTTGTTACAATACATAATTGCGCACAACGGACATGCTGTAATTCGCTGCGTGGCTAGGAGTTGGGGAGGATTTGGGAATTGGAAGTGATTCTACAAGGAAAAAACAAGAGCTGGGGAGGATTTGGGAATTGGGGGGATTCTATAGAAAGGGAGCACCAGGAGTTGGAGAGGATAGGGGAATTGAGGGGGATTCTACAAAGGAAACAATCAACAGATTCAACCCAGCAGGAGTTGGGCAGGATTTGGGACTTGGGGGGAATTCTAAAGGGAAAGATCAAGAGTTGGGGAGGGGGGGGGTGGGGAGGATTCGACACAGGAAAAATCAAGAGTTCGAGTTCGAGTTGGCGGCGTTGAAAAACATTGAGGGCGGGAAAACAACAGGAGCTGGGGAGGATTTGGGCAGTGGGGGGGATTCTACAACAGGAACACTCATGAGTTTGGGAGGATTTGGGAATTGGGGAATATTCCACGAGGGGAAAAATGAGTTGGGGAGGATGCAGGAATGCATGAGGATCCCACCAAGGAAGAAACATGAGTTGGGGAAGGTTTGGGGGGGGTGGGGAAGATTTGGAAATTGGCGTGTACTCAACGGAACCAAGAGTTGGGCAGAACTTGGGAATCGGGGAGGATTCCACAAAAGAAAAAAACAGGAGTTGGGGAGGATCTGGGAATCGCACCGGATTTTACAAGGAAGAAAAACAAGAAGCTAGGGAGGATTGGGGAATCAGGGAAGAGCACACAAAGAAAAAAACAGCAGTTAGGCACGACTTGGGAATCGGAAGCAAGAGTTGGAGAGGATTTGTGACTTGGGGAAAATTCGACAAAAGGAAAACAAAAACAACAAAATAGGGGATGAATTGGGAAGTGAGCAGCATTCTACACAGGAAAAACCGGAGTTGGGGGGGATGTTCAAAGTCATGGGGATTCTACACAGGAGGCAGCAGGAAATGGGGAGGATTTGGGAGTGGGGGAGGAGTCCACGAAGGCAAAAAAACAGAAGTTGGGAATGCTGTGTGACATGGGGAGGATTCTTCAGAGGGAACAACAGGAGTTAGGGAGGATCTGGGGGATTGGAGAGAATATTCAACAAAGGAAAAAAGAAGGAGTTGGGGAGGCTTTGGGAATTGGGGAGAGGAAAAAGCATGAGTTGGAGAGGATTCGGGACTGGGGGAGGATTCTACACAGGGAAAAAAAGGAGTTGGCGAAGATTTGGGAATTGGGGAGGATAGCAGAACGGAAAAAACAGGAGTCGGGGAGGATTCGGGAATTGGGGGTGGTTCTACACAGAGGGAACAAAACAAACAACATTTGGTGAGGACCTGGGAGTTAGGACCTGGGAGTTGGGGATCATTCTACAGGGAGGAAAAGGCAGGAGCAGGTGATGATTTGCGGGCTGGGGATGGCCGAACAAAGAAAGAAACAAGGGTTGGGGAGGATTTGGTATGTGAAAGCAATACATGAAAATGATATGGGATTTGGGAGATTCTACAGAGGAGCAAGCAGGAGTTAAGAGAGGTTGAACAATGCTGCGGATTCTGCACATTACAGAAAAGGATGTGGGGGCATGCTGGAATTGATGAGGGTTCTGCACAGGAGAAAGCAGGAGTTGGGGGGGATTTGGAAATTGGTGAATGTTCCTCCAGCCCTTTGGGCGTGAGTGGTTTAGAGAGCCCGCTCTGTCATGAACCCCCCTTCTTCCCCTTCGGGGAAGGGCTTACCCCTCCCCCTACCCCCTCCCCCTGGACCTGGAGAGGGGGTTTCGCGGGTCGTTGGAGGGGTCTTTTACGACTCCTGGGAGGGCTAAAAAACGACTACCCTCACGAGGATTCTGGCCCCGACGGGGGGACGGAGATAAGTCCCTCTCCTCTTCTTTGAAGCCAAAATCCTTGATTTTACCACGGTTTTGGCACCCTTTTGGCCTCCTGAGGGGGCCGCGCTCATCTTCCTTCATAGCAAAATCATTGAGTTTACGAAGGTTTGGGGCTCATTTTGTCCTTCTCAGGAGGCAGCGCTTATTTGCGCTTCTGAGGAGGTCGCAAGAGGCCCCAAGATGGCCCAAAGAGGCCCCCAGGAGCCTCCCAAGATGCCTCCAAGAGGCCCCCCAGAGGCCCCCAAGAGGCCCCCCAGAGGCCCCCAAGAGGCCCCCAAGAGGCCCCCAAGAGGCCCCAAGAGGCCCCAAGAGGCCCCCAAGAGGCCCCCAAGAGGCTCCCAAGAGGCCCCAAGAGGCTCCAAGAGGCCCCCAAGAGGCTCCACGAGGAGCCCGAACGACTCACACCAGGGCGAGGGGCCTGAACGACTCACACCACGAAGAGCCCGAACGACTCACACCACAAGGAGGTTCCCGAACGACTTACACCAGGACGAGGCGCCCGAACGACTCACACCACGAGGAGCCCGAACGACTCACACCACGACGCGGGCCTCGAACGACTCACACCACGAGGAGCCCGAACGAGTCACACCAGGAGGAGGGGCAGCGCTCATACAAGCCACCACGAGGAGCCCAAACGACTCACACCACGACGAGGGCCCCGAACGACTCACACCACGAGGAGCCCGAACGAGTCACACCAGGAGGAGGGGCCCGAACGACTCACACCAGGACGAGGGGCCCGAACAACTCACACCACGAGAAGCCCGAACGACTCACACCAGGACGAAGAGCCCGAACGACTCACACCACGAAGAGCCCGAACGACTCACACCAGGAAGAAGGGCCCGAACGACTCACACCAGGACGAGAAACCCCAACCGACTCAAACCACGAGGCGCGCTTTCTCTCCCTCCTCCTCCGCCTCGTCCTTCTCCCGCTCCCCCCACAAGGAGGATGTACAAGGAGGCGGGGGGAAGGAATAACAGGGGAGATATGCGGGGGCAGGCGGAAACACGCCTGAAAAAAACACGACTGTCGGCATGCGTCGCAAGAATTGCTGTTGAGAGATGGGCTGGTGGGGACACGCGAAGCGTAAACAATTTGGAAATTGGTGAATGTTCCTCAAAAGGAGAAGACAGGAGTTGCAGAGGATCTGGTTTTGGGAATTCGGGTCGCTTCTCCAAAAAGATTATCCCGGCAAAGCAACCTAACAGCGATGTGTAGAAGCATATCTGAAAGCATTCCCCTTAAGATTCAGATGAAAATCCAGTTGTCGAATTCTGCTGTTCTCGCAGTCGTAGTCGCACTCGCGATGACAACCCACGCACCCCGGAGGCGCGCTTTCTCTCCCTCCTCCTCCGCCTCGTCCTTCTCCCGCTCCCCCCACAAGGAGGATGTACAAGGAGGCGGGGGGAAGGAATAACAGGGGAGATATGCGGGGGCAGGCGGAAACACGCCTGAAAAAAACACGACTGTCGGCATGCGTCGCAAGAATTGCTGTTGAGAGATGGGCTGGTGGGGACACGCGAAGCGTAAACAATTTGGAAATTGGTGAATGTTCCTCAAAAGGAGAAGACAGGAGTTGCAGAGGATCTGGTTTTGGGAATTCGGGTCGCTTCTCCAAAAAGATTATCCCGGCAAAGCAACCTAACAGCGATGTGTAGAAGCATATCTGAAAGCATTCCCCTTAAGATTCAGATGAAAATCCAGTTGTCGAATTCTGCTGTTCTCGCAGTCGTAGTCGCACTCGCGATGACAGTCGCAGCGGCAACGGCAGTCGCAGTCACAGCCTCAGCCTCAGCCTGCCTCCTCCTCCTCCTCCTCCTCCTCTGTCTCCTGCTCCTCCTCCTCCTCCTCCTCCTCCTCCTCCTCCTCCTCCTCCTCCTCTTCCTCCTGCTCGTCCTCGTTCTCGTCCTCCTCGTCTTGCTCGTCCTCCTCCTCCTCCCCTCCTCTCCTCCTCCTCCTCCTCCGCCTCCTGTGGTTTCTCGTTCTCTCTCCTCCTCCTGGTCTCTCCCCCCCCGACCCACCACCCCCCTCCTCCTCCTCTCCTCTCTCCTCCCTCCTCCTCCTCCTCCTCCTCCTCCTCCTCCTCCTCCGTCCTCCTGGTAGTCCCCCTCCCCCTCCCCTCCTGCCTCCTCTGCTCCACTCCTCCCCTTTTTTCTCCTCCTCCTCTCTCCTTCCTGTCGTCCTCGTTCTCGTCCTCCTCGTATTGCTCGTCCTCCTCCTCCTGGTGTTCTCTCCTCCTCCTCCTCCTCCTCCTCCTCCTCCTCCTCCTCCTCCTCCTCCTCCTCCTCCTGGTGGTCCTCGTTCTCCTCCTCCTGGTACTCTCCCCCCCCCTCCTCCTCCTCCTCGTCCTCGTCCTCCTCCTCCTCCTCCTCCTCCTCCTCCTCCTCCTCCTCCTGGTGCTCCTCCCCCTCCCCTCCTCCTCCTCCTCCTCCTCTTCCTGGTCGTCCTCCTCCTCCTGGTCGTCCTCCTCCTCCTGCTCGTCCTCCTCCTCCTCCTGCTCGTCCTTCTTCTCCTGCTCCTCCTGCTCCTCGTCCTGCTCCTGCTCGTCCTCGTCGTCCTGGTCTTGCTCGTCCTCCTCCTCGTCGTGCTCTTGCCCCTGCTGAAAATGTGGCCCAGGAATGGGAGTTCTGGGAAGTCGAAGAGCACGAAGTTGCCTACAGTTGCTACGGGCATTCAAAATGTGGCCCGGGAATGGAGTTCTGGGAACTCGAAGAGCACGAAGTGGCCTACAGTTGGCTCCGGCTATTCAAAATGTGGCCCGGGAATGGAGTTCTGGGAACTCGAAGACCAGGAAGTGGCCTACAGTTGGCTCCGGCCCTCCAGAATGTGGCCCGGGAATGGAGTTCTGG